AGGCAACTTGACCGAGTTCGAATCTGAAAACCGTAGGTATTGGCCTTGAAGTTAGACCAGTTTTATGTTAAACATTTTCGACTTTTAGGTGGTGGAAAGCACATGTCAGACTTCTGGGACTATTTTCTTGATATCCTAGATGATGCTAAAGCATATGCTTTTGAACGTTGTACAGAAAAGTCTGCCAGTTTTACCAGCATGGATCTAGCTTTGGAAATTGATAAAATGTTTTATGAGCAAACTGGCACAGTGAAACGTAAGTGTGTGAGTTAAAGGCGGAGAAGTCATGCGCGCTGAATCGAGATGTTGGTTTTTTAGAACCTGGAAGCCCTCTGATTCGTTCTGTGCCGTCATGTCGACTAGATCTTAAGTCATGGGGATTTAGTTTCAAGGAAAATGGACAACGCCCGTACTACGAAGGCCATGAAAAACCCGGTGTCATACAAGACCGCAAGAATTTTATTCAGTTCTTTCTTGATCACAAAGATCAATGTTACACAGTCAGTGATGGAGTTCAACCGGTCTGGAATCTGCCGTTACGCAAGCCTTATATTGCATTATTATGTAAGTTAGCTTTTTTGCAGAGCTAATGTTTCTCTATGACTTTTCGAACGTTTCAGTCCACGACGAAAGTGCTTTCAAAAGTGGAGAAGTCAGTGCCAAACGTTGGCTGTTGCAAGGTCATGAGCCTTTCCATTCTAAAGGCAGAGGAAGAACCAACATGATTTCTGATTTTGTCTCTTCACATCCGTCTGGTTCAACTTTCAAACTGGACGATGCCGAGTCGAAATCAGCTTATACTCAAACAATTTATTTCATATATGCCTCAAATAAAAGTACAAAGTACTCTGTTTTTGTACTTAAGTACAAGTACAAAAGTATTTATCTCGAAGTACAAGTATAAGTACCAAGTACTTTTCTTAAAGTATAAGTACAAGTATCAAGTACATTTTTGCAAGTACAAGTATAATACTTTTACTTGAAGTACTTGTACTTGTCCTAGCCCTGGTCGTCTGTGATAATGCCAGAACACATACGGCTAAATCTCATTCCGTATATGATTTTAATAAAAAGATAGGTGGGAAATGTCCAGTTGAGGCTATCGAATACATCGATACAGATGGAAAGAAAAAGGTGTTACAGTGTTTCTTCGCGAAAGGCGTTAACGTAAGTTAAACTATTAAGGAAAACTCTACCTGTAGTAATATACAGTCTTCCGCTTTTAGAAAGGCAAAAGTAAAGGTCTGGCCGAGATTGCAAAAGAGCTGAAGGTTAAAGTTCCAGATGGGGTTAAGTTGGCTAATTTGAGAAGTTTATTGTCAGGACATCCAGCATTTAAGACGGTAGGGAAGTTGTTAATCTTATTTGTGCGGAAGCAGCTATGGAACAAGACAGAACCTCACTCCATTTGTCCATTTATCTTTAACAGAAGTCAAAACTAGAGATTTTGGGTGATAAGTACGGTGTCACAGTCCTATTCTGTCCACGTTACCACTGCGAACTTAACCCTACAGAAGGTTTATGGGCTTCGATGAAACTTTATGTACGACGTCACACGGACCAAACCTATCCAACAATGCTAAGACTAATTCCGGAATCAAGGAAAAATTTCGAAGACAGAAAAATTTATATTAAACTTATTCGACGTTTCTGGCGAGCTATCAAAGCTTACAACGACAGACAATCATACGTAGACGTGATGAAAATGTTCTTTTCAGAAAAGTGTCGGGGCAGTGTGGTCAGTCACACACGAATCAGTAACAGTCGAATCGACGACTACAACAGTTTTTTTATTTTTATTGAAAACTTTTACATATGTTGTTTCTATGAATGAATGTTTCTATTCTATGAATGAATTACTATGTACTTCACCACCATGAGCATCCAAAAAAATGGTTTAAAAAGCAACTGAATCAAAAACGCTGGGGGAAGAAAAAAGCGGAGGTTGCGTTTCTGTCTCGTTTTTGGTAAAAATGCAGTTTCTCAGCGAAAAAAATTTTTTTCTTAAAATCCATACTTGCGTTTGTAGCCCGGAAGCAGGGCTATCGAATGGCATAAAATTCAATGAGATTGCTCTTAATGTGAAAGACTACATAGGTTTTTGGCGGAAGGGTCTCGTTTTTG